CGGTTAGTGTATGTTTATCGATCACGCAGTTGTTAAGCTGAGCGTTTAGTTGTTAAGATGAGCGATCCACTTCGAAGACACTTGGTTTAACTGCCCGGTGGATAAAGCCAAGGGACGATGTGATTGGCGCGTTCCATCTTTCTCGCCTTCTGCCATAGATAGACGGAAGAGGAGAGGCACACCAGTGATGCCTTTTCCCCACTCTGTCCATCTGCCAATTCGGACGACGACCTTAACTGATTCTATGGTTGGCGCTGTAGTGCACCCGTCGTTGTTCGTTTCGGTCTCAAAATCGGTTATACGCTTTCCAGGGCTAAGGCAGCGTTCATACTTCGCGATGACGCGCGGAGCTGTAGTGTGCGTCGATGCTCTATCTGTGCTACAGCGCTCAAACGCCTATATTCGGGTATCAATCGTCACCGCCCCGTTCCACTCTCTAGCTCTAAAGCGCGGGTGCAATGGTTGTGTGTCGACGGGCGGCATCGCAAAGTTTATGCGGCATAAAAGGCTGTTATTTCAGGTTCCGTTACGATCTCGGTGGAAGCCACCCAAGTATACTTTTAATGATATCGCGGTTGTTCTCACCACCGATGAAGAAGTGGAAGATGGTAAGTGATTGTTATTTTCACTTTGAAATCGAAAAAAATCACGAGTTTCTGCTTTTATGCAGACATGAGCTCAACAATGAATCTTGGAAGCCTCCTTAGCACTATGCGTCTTGCTGTCGTTGGCTTCTACTGTTCAGCTAGGAGCACATAAACTGGTTGGGGGCATCTGGGACCCCTGCAAAATTGTGCTCACCACAAATGAAACCAAGACTTTGTGCAAGTCTACATAGGGAAGGGGCTCCTGAGTAGTTGAACCAGCTTCAGCTACAGCAATCCCATTCTATAAGTAATCCCAGTTTTGCCCGAGAAGTCCTTTAGATACTCCTTACATTCAAAGTTATTAACGCCCTCAACTGCTTACTGATATAGGTGTGATTCATGCCTACACAATTCGATCGCCGGCATGGGATAGTCTGCCCTCTCCGATATCATCTCAGCATGACAGTCAATCGGATCTGAGGGATTTCCAGGTGCCTACTTCTCTACATAGCGTTTCTTTG